CCGCATTGCCACTACCAGGAGATAGTGGAACCGAGCACGGGTTTGTTGCTGCAATGAATTTTCCTGTGCTTCATCTGCGCAAAGCAGCCATTCACTGTTAGATAGATACCATGCGAAAGCAAATTTAAAAAAAAAAAAATCCTCAGTTTAAAACCCAAAATGAACCATTTTACTTTTCGCATTTTTTTGGATTGTTTTGGCATCCCACTAGAATAAAACTAAACGAGCAACCTCACCTTTTCCGCTCAAAGTAGCTATTGCTCATCAGCAGTTGGATTCATTAAGGCATCATAGAGAAACAAAAATTAAAGCAAAGCAGCGTTCGAGCAAAAACTATATTGAAATCACTGATCCCAGAACTAGATTAGAGAGGCCTGAGATTTAGTGGACTACAGGAATGTAAAATTTTACCAAAGAAGCACAAAATAAAGTTAAGTGCCTTAAATCAGCTTGGCAGCATTAAATTACATTAGAAAATGAATAACAGAGTTTGAAAAAAAAAACTACCTCCGGGACAGCAAACAGTTGTTTCGGGTGTTGCTCCAACATGACACCAAAAATTCACCGGACACATTTCCTTGTTGGTTGCCGAACAAAAAATAACTTGACCAGCAGCAGTTGTTGCTGGCTGACCAATACAAGGATTTTCGAGTGGTTGACATTGCTGCTCACAGGCCGTCTAAATACTAATTTCACTAATTTTGTACTAACTTTAGGTTAATTTTCTTATTTATACTTATTTTGCACTAATTTCAGCCTTCAATGAGTATTACACTAATTTCTGAATTTGTAAAAGTACTTTAAATTAAACTCGAAACTGTGCACTGCTTCGTGATGTGCTGAGAGGCAAAGCCTTCCTGCCATTAAATTTTGAAAATCGAATCACTTGCAAAAGCAGTTAGTATTTAGGACCATCGTCTAGAATGTCAGTGCACACACGTTCAGACAGAAACTTGAATTTCGAAAGTTTACATTGGAGGAAAGCTTTTTTTAGCACAAAATGACTAAAATTACGGCAATTCTAAATGTCAAACCATAGTTAAAAAATTGTTTTGATTTCCTTTCATGCCGCGGTACGTGAATGCTCGGCACGTTTTCGTTGCTGCGTCGTAATAATAACGTTCCAGCTCTTCATCCCCTTCGCCGGTTATCACAGGAAGAGTGCATGGGTCAGCAACTGCTGAAATTTGAAAATTCGTAGACTTTTGAATTTTCGTCAAGCGCTTGAAAAAACAATGCCTATTATAATCCTATACCCTTCTATTACCCAAAATTCATGTCAGCTCACTAACCATGACCAAATGGCTAAGCCTACAAAAGCAATTTTGTCAATTAACGCAAATGTCACTACAAATACAAGTGAGAAACCTCTACGTCCACTTACAGCCCCGATCAACACAGCTCATTCAAACTGCGCCTCCACTCAGTAGTGACCAAGAAAAATTTTTGACTGGAGCTAAAAAACCAATGCTTTACTGGGCCCCCTCGAGCACATCAAAACAGGGAGACTGCTATTCCCCTATTGAGTATCATGAGCAATGCCTTGAGGATGCAAGAGGTGGTCATTAGGAAAGATGTATAAATGTATCCTACTCGAGATAGATGAAACAATGAAGTAGAAGATGCTTGGAATGCCCTTCTGTGATCAGACAGGAAAAACACATTTTGCCAAATTATTAATTCGT